AGTAAAGGCATCACAGAATTGTAGCTGAACTTGGAGAAAATATCTGGGACTCAGGCCTATCATCTGGAATGGATAATTCATGCTAGGCATTGGGAAATTCATCTTTCTGTGATGGGACTCAAGGCACCTGATGATCCTTTAATGGAGAAATATAATGGTAGGGTACTGTTTGAAAATGGTATTCCTTGAAATGCAAAAGCAGTGGCAGTTATCAACAACAATTAGTGGCATTGGACAAAAGCCAGGTCAGAGGAACTTGTGAACATCCAATCTGCTTTCTGTGGTACACCGTTCCCTAATGAGAAGAGAAAGGATAGCATATCCTGGAACCTGACACCAAATGGAAAGTTTTCCATCAAAAGTGTACGGGAAGCTTAAAGGGCCAAAAGTGGTAGGGTGGAGAGGTTTCAATTATTATGGAATCCCTTACATATTCCTAAACACAGCTTCACATCATGGCTGATCATCCTCGACAGATCATCCTTTGAAGACAAACAGTTTAAATGGGGAGATCCTCTGGTCCTAGCTATTTGTATTTTGTGGAAGCATGCAAAAGAATACAGAGACCACCTTTTCTTTTTGAGTATCAATTTTCGAGAAAAATCTGAACTAAAGTTCTGCAAAAATGCAATATGCACAGGCAAGTACGAGAAATTAACAATTTACTTGTGTAAATACAGGTGTGGCAGGGCGAGAAGATGAACAGCTAAGTTTAATTCCAGTAATGCCCAAAATTCGAATCCGTGATTTGCCAGGAGTCCTCTATGGAAACTTAGAATCGTTCTTTTCAAGCACGCTACATAAAATGAAAAAGCATTACCGCAAGCAGCTGCAGTCTTCATCAATTCATTTCAGGAGCCAGACCCTAGCATAACGAAGGACTAGAATTCTAGATTCAGAAAGTTTCTCAACATTGGACCCTTCAATATGATATTACCACCACCACTGGGGGCAGACACATATGGTTGAATAACATGGCTTGACAAGCAAAAACTTGCTTCCGTTGCATATTTTAGCTTTGGATCGGTCACACCACCACCACCGCATGAACTTGTAGCACTAGTTGAGGTCTTAGAAACAAGTGAGGTGTTATTTGTATGCTCACTTAAAGACAGCTCAAAGGTACATTTCCCTAACGGATTCTTGGACAGAACCACATCACAGGGACTTGTGATACCATGGACTCAGTTCGACGTTTTGGCGCACACAGCAGTTGGGGTGTTTACAACTCATTGTGGAGGGAACTCATTGATTGAGAGTATATCGGGAGGGGTGCCTATGATTGGCAGGCCATTTATTGGCCGTTAAACGCTCAACGGATGCATGTTAGAGAATGTGTGGGAGATTGGTCTCCAGGTTGAGAGTGGAGTCTTTACAAAGCATGGAGTGTTAAATAGCTTGGATAAAGTTATATCACAAGACGGGGGAGAAATGAGGGAGAACATAAGGGCACTTCAACAACTCGCAAAGAAAGCCATTGGACCAAACGGGATCTCTGTGGATAATTTTATTGCTTTTGTCAGATGTGGTGTTCAATACTAAAATATAGTAACTCTTCAGAACCAAGAAGTAATTTCGAGTTTGAGTTTCCCTAATGTTGAAGTTCAATAAATACCTTGATTCTGTCTCATGTTTTTTCAAAGAAAACAAAAATGTTTCCTCTTATCATCTTTCACTTAATTAACTCTTTTGGTCCGACTCAGCAACCTACCTGATTCTGTACCCCTTATATCCACTACTTGGAAACTCAGAAGTTGGAGAAGTCGAACAAATCTTTGAAGGATGAATATGTGATGCATAGTTCATGGCGGTGTGAAGAACATAGGGGGTGGTTTAACGGAAAGAGGATTCTTCGAGAAGGCTTGATGATCATAAGACAGGCTTTAAATAATGCCTTGATGCTCTGCTAGAACAACAGACCTTGTTAGACAGTCAGACTCACAGTTTGGTGTTCTTAGCTCCCTATAGCTTTTGCAGTGAATATACCAAGTTTCTGTTTTAAATCTATCAATAAAACTACTCTGTAACCCCTTTCGTTTCTGAGTTCATTTCTATAACAATAAGTGTTATCCGCAGATGATAAGAACACATGTTCTAACAATTATGGGACACCCAGAAAATGTAACATCAAACTCATTCTTGGAACCCAATTCACAAATGGTCGGAAATCATATCTGCAGATGAATCATCTCATAAAAAGTCATTCCATAAAATTTTACTCACTCTACCCTCCATAACAAACAAGAAAACACATAAATAGGTATATTCAGTAGAAAGAGGAAGAATCCAAATCAACAAACAGAAAACTACTGCATGACCAAGGTATGTTCAGTAGAATCATGAAAATCAACAAGGTATCTGAGAAGTGAACCACTCCATGACATGAATGGGGGCCTTGATCAACTCCAGAGCCAGTTCTACTATCACAGTCACGCAGAAACAACAAGGACACACACAGGATAATAACAACCTGCACAACCCCCAAGATTGGAAAATCAGTCAAAACGTATAAATTCTCAAGTACAAATGTAACATCATTCCATAAAATAATTTAGACCAAACCCAGGTCACATATTGCATCAAAACTGCCAAATTCTG